TTTTGTGACTTCCCGCCTTGGCCTTGGTGTAAGTGTGGGGCTCGTTCAGGTGGTAGTTTTAACCAGAGGTGTTGTCGGGGTGGCTGGAATCATTCTGGGGCCGGTTAGAGAGAAGAAAGATTTCTCATTTCCAACTTAAAAAAAAAAATGCCATCAGCCAAGCACGTGTCATCAATTTGCTTGCTTTTAACCAGTACTGTAAGGATGAATGAAAGCAGAGGGCCTACGTCTGCAAATGGTGCCGCTGGTGCTGGGCTGATGGGAAGCCACCTTCGTGCGCGGAAACCGGCCGTCACAGCATGGTGGTCGTGTGCCGGTGGGTTTTCCCACCTCCTTTTTTTCTTTTAGCGTTGCCATACACCTCGTGGAAGATGCCACATTTCTTTTGCGTGAGCGCTTGTGTTTGTCTTGAGGTGCAGCGCCGGTGGCGGCCACGCACTGTGCCTGCCCGGTGCCTGCGCTTTGCTGCTGTCGCCCACCTCGCTGGAAGGAGCCCGTCAACTGCTGCAGCAGCAGTACTGCTCACATAAGTCATACCTAGCAGGGTGTCATTTCCACTGTTTATCTGTGGAGCAAGTGTTCCTTCTAGTAAGCAGAATCCTCCTTCCCAATTTTTAAATAGCTAGGCTTATATTTTAATCCCTGTCCTTTAAGATTATGGTTAATACACTTGACTAAAATGCAAGTATAGCCAAATTATTTTTAAAAACTGTTACTTTTGGTGCTGCTGTTTGTTCTGTCACTGTCTTAACGTCTTTTTAATTGTTAAGTCATGATTTTAGCAGTGTTCTTTTTCTGCTTGCGTTAAAATGCTGCCAAAGCCTCAGTGGAAAACTTAGGAAGATAAATCTGTTTATGTTGTTTGTTACACTTTCCTTCTTTACTTCCTTTTGCCTAGGGACTTTTGCATTAAATCAGTCTTTGTTTTGAATGGTACATCTGCTTTAGTTGCTTACTTCTTACCTGAAGCACTAAGGTTCGGTTGACTGCAGGGCAAGCAGCAAAAAAACCCTCCCTCTGCACTTTTCTCCTTCTAATTGCTAACTGTAGGGCAGGCTATGGTAAGATGGAGAATAACTGTGTGAAAGTGGTGGTAACAAGGTCATGGTTTCATGTGTATGCCTACATGGACCAACAGACAGCAGAGAAGTGTGTAGTATGTAGAAGAAAGGCTGAGAGAGCTGGGGTTGTTCAGCCTGGGGAAGAGAAGGCTCTGGGGAGACCTTATTGTGGCCTTTCAGTACTTAAAGGGGGCTTGTTAGAAAGATGGGGACAAACTTTTTAGTAGGGCCTGTACCAATAGGACAAGGGGTAATGGTTTTAAACTAGAAGAGGGGAGATTCAGACTAGATATATGGAAGAAATTTTTTACAATGCGGGTGGTGAAACAGTGGCACAGGTTGCCCAGAGAGTTGGTAGATGCCCCATCCCTGGAAACATTCAAGGTCAGGTTGGACGGGGCTCTGAGCAACCTGCTCTAGTTGAAGATGTCATTGCTGCTCATTGCGGGGGGGGGGGGGGGAGGACTAGATGACCTTTAAAGGTCCCTTCCAACCCAAACTATTTTATGATTCTGTACTGCTGTGTTGTAAGCAGAAATATTTGTGCTAAATAGGTTGGGGGCTTTTTGATGCCTTCATGTGGTGTCAGTGGATCCTTGAGCTTACATTCCACTTATCCCTCTGACGACTTGAACTTTGAATTCAGATAAAATAGCAAAATGCAAATGAGTAATTATTTGAGGTTCTGTCATTCCAGATACCTCTTAGCCGAAAGAATAAACTTAATGTACAAAACGAGGAGGAAGAAATTGCTCAGTGGCATTCATATGAGGGGCTGGCTGGCGGGGCGGAGCAGCATCTGACTTTCCCAGGTACCCTGCTTACGCAAGTGGCCTCTTTACTGGTCTGTTGCCACAGATACTGATGACAGCAACGTGCATGTCAGGCCTGGGTACTATAGAGAGCTACTGAAATAGAGCATTAAGAAAAAGACTGAATCTGCTCCTTGTGCATATGGAGAGTGGGCACTTGAGGCCTAGGAGCAGCGTCAGGCGTAACCAGTGTCCCCTTTACATCTGTGGTTTCTGGGAATTCATGTGCCTATGTACTGTTGGTTTCAGCTGTATTCATTTCCTGTGCAGTACATGGGAAAACACATTATGATCATGGAGAATGTGAAGTGTACCATAAGTGATATGGTAGTGAATAAGGAGGAAAATATGAAAGGCAAACAGACAAAAAGGGAACTTTTGGTGTCTAAATTTCAGTGCCCAGTGGTTATTTTGCGCTGAGTGTAGGCACGGTACTTTAACCCAGATGATGTAGTGGGGGAAAAAAATGTTTACCCATCCCATTCTTCAATCTCCCCTTTTTTCAGTGAGGGAAAATACAGCATTTCCTTACCAGACATTGGAAATGCAAGGTGGGAAATCCTGTGATGACAAACAGCTCTGTGCGACTTTGATGTAGGCTGAAGCACAGCTGTAAAGTATTGCTTTTAGAGATTTAAATACTGTTTGGAAAAAGTGACAACCGTTTACCCATTTCTTGATCTCTGTGGAGGATTGTTTTAGCTAGGGAATAGAAATACGAGGAGTGACAGAAGAACCTGATGACAAGAGTGTAAAAATTCAAAGGTGGTCTCAGCAGCCCTGTCATGGTACTCTGTGCACAATGAAGGCCTTACCTTGTGGCTGCTGGATGGCAGGGAATAGGCCAGGATCCTTCTCTGCAGCTTCTGTTTTGCCTCCAAATGTGGTAATAGCTTTTGGTGGGGTTTTTTCATACATTCTCTCTCCCCAGTTTCTTTGTTTATATACGCTGGGGAGCATGAGAGGTGCCTTTCGCCCCATGCACAAACTGCTGCAGGCAGCACTTGAAGAGGTTAATGAGGGCTATGTTGGCTGTGAGACTTGCTGCTATCGACATCAGAGGCTAAATTACTATGCATGAGGCATACTTGACTAGACTTATATTTGACCTTTTAGAAAAGATTAAAGGTTTAGTGAAGTCTTGTGCTTCAGTTTCTGGCATTGCTGGAGTTTTTGACGAAAGGACTTGCTTTAGCACAGCATCAGTTCAGATTAGGCTCTGACTTATTGGAGTTAGTTGTCTGAGATGTTGCTCATTTATTTGCAGCTGAAGAAAGTTGTTTTTTTTTTTTTTTTTCCATCCTGCATCCCTCTTCTTGGCTTTTGCATCCTCGTGGATTTTCTAAGATATTTCTCTTGCAAGGAGAAGATAATTTGCTTTTTTGACTTCTCAAGGTTCGTTCTTCTTTTGGATGCAGTGGCTATGATTCTGGCATTACGTGAAGCCATTGTAAATAAAAATCTGTCCTGCTAATAAGTGGCAACTCTTCTGTAGTCAGTCTCTGTGTGCCCATAGGGACAGAAGAGCTCTGGAGTACTTCCTTAAGACTTTGGAGGATGCTACGTGGGCAAATATGGACAAGAAGAATGTTACTTTTTCCAGAGTTGTCCCCTGTGCCTCTTCCCTGCCTGGAAATGGACCCAGGTGTCCCCCTCCTGCACCCTGCAGACTGTGCTGTGGGGTCTGATGTGGACACCCTTGTGCCCCACAGATGTAGAGGAAAGAGGGGCACTGGAGTGTAACAGTTCATTGCCGAGTTAGTCTAAAGGTTGTGGATGACGATAACTGTAAAGGTCAAGGAGCTGCTTAGCCCAGTCTTGTATGATACTTTTCTTCATGCAGCGTCTCGTTTCTGGATCAGTGTATTAGCCTTTTGTCTTTGGAGGCATCTGTTCAAATACTGACTGATTTAACAGTAAGGGGTTTTTGGATGAACGGGAAGAGTAAAGGGGAAACCTGTGCTGATTCCCCATCCCCCATTTGTGATTCAGCCCTTCTTAGTATGTAGTATAACAGAAGGTGCCTCTTCAAAAGAGACATAGATCAGGAGGTGGCAAAGATTTTTCATATGTAAAATGATAGGCATTGTGTCTGGTTGAACTACTGTTAAGTAAAACCCTATTGCTATTCTTACAAAACTTTAGTGAGCCTTAAAATCCCTTTGTTTCTCATAAAAGAATACATTTTCAAAATCCGTAGTCTTGCATTTGGGATAGCAAATACCCTTGTAGTATTGGAGAAGTAAGAAGAACACTCAGTGTTGTCACATGTGAAGTTGTCTCCCTTTAATTTCTCTGGATTGCATGAATTTATGTATTAGGATAATTTTAATCTGTAGCATATCATACTACAGGTATGAGGGACACTGAATTTGATGTACTAGATCAAAGCTTAGAGGGTATGCAGATTGTCAGAGACATGCTCATACACAGTAGCGTACTTCTGTTTAACATTCACACGTGAGGTTGATTACAGATAAAGTAAAGATACCATATGATTGTTTTAAAATTTCTGCCAAGTTTGGAAGCCCCTCTCATCTTTATTTCTTGGGTCACCTCTCCTGAATTGAGCTGCTGCTGCTGTTCTTTGTATGTCCAGGTGGTGCGGTGAGTCACCAGCTATGTCAAATCAGTAGAAATTTAATCTCTGGCATAATGGACATTGGCTTAACTGATTGTCAGATTCGGCCAGACTGTTAAGTGGTGTCAGTGGGTAAGTAATCAGCACTTTGTCAGGTTGGGGACCCTCTATGTTGTACTGAGGCAGTGGGCTCCTCAGATACTCAGTTTTACTCTGTGTATGTTGAAGTATTGACTTTCTCCGTAGAAAATGCTGGCAAGGCATCTGGGCCTTTGACTGCTTGCCAGTAAGTTGAGTGTTATTGTTATCTATAATTTGAATGTTAGTCTCTGTGTGTTTGCCAACTGATAACTCACTTTGTCACCTTTCTGCATATACTTCCTGAGTGGCTGACTTTATTTCATCAAAACTTTGTCAAAAAAACCAAGTATAAATTCTGAGTCTTGGGTAAAGCTGGTGCAAACTAGGATTTGTCTTCCATGCTCTTCCAAAGCCAAGATGGAAGTAAGTGCTAATATCCAGCAAAGAGGATGCTGTGCTCTTGCTGTACTGGAAGCAGCCAGAAAGCTCTCTGCTAAGATAAAGTCTCTTTTAGGAGTTCTGTTATAGCTCTTGAGGACTGATCCTATGTGCACAGCTTTGGTCAAGCTCCTCCTCGCAAAACTCTGTTTTGATGCAGATGCTGAACTGGAGAGTTGTTAGGCTGCTTCTTGCTTGAATGTACTTAATAGTCTTAGATTTAACCCTTTTGGAAAGGGGATCTCACACCTGAGCTTCTTTATACATTTGTAGTATCATCACTCTTAAGGGAGTTGCTTTGGTTGGCTCTAAGACGAAGGCTTATCCTTTGCTGCAGCTGTGGGCCTCAAACAGCTTCTTTGGTTTGAGTTTGCTATCTTCTCGTTGTTGAGTTCACTGCTGCCCTGGCCAACCTCTCGTCGTGGGAACTGACCTTTCATTGTGGGAGCCGTGCTTTCAGGCCTCGCCTCTGCTGGCACTTGGGCAGAGGATGCGGTCGCAGCTGGAGGAACATACATACTAAATTGCATGGATGTGCATGCTTATACGTAAGAGTGTAAATTCCCTATTCTAGCTGAAAATGCTTAGAACAGGAGCAGTGGCCACCAGTCCTGCACTGGGGATGTTGCAGACAAATTGGAACAGCCCCTGTTCAAGCGGGTCATAGAGATGTTGTGCCCTCACAGCCCGGTGTGTTCTGGCAGTCTGACATGGCTGGTGCGTGGTGAGCTCTGGACAGTCGCTCTTCCTTTCTTCCGGCGTTGGTTCCTTGCTTTGGCGTAAGCCTGCTCTGTTCGCCAAAGAGCCTGCGCTGCAGTGGCTGCTGGCCTTGCAGGATTGACTGATATCTTGGTCAAACCAGTCAAAGTTCTGTCTGTGGGTTCAGCTTAGGACATCTTCTTTCTTCCATATGCTACTGCCACTGCTCGTTCCTCTCTGTCTCCCAATTTTTTACTGCTTAAGCAAGTTGGCGCAGTTGTAAGCTGTGTGATGCTTAATTCTCACAGTGGGAAGGCAGCCCTGGGTTCACCAGCCGATGCAGTACTGCATGTCTCTTTTGCTTTAAGGCTGGAGTTGTGTCTGTAAGCCCTTAGGGGAAATGTAAAGTAAAAATTGATTTTTAGTTTGCTGTGGATATGGTGCGAGTCAGAAGAAATCTCTGTGTGTTCTTTAAGGCAGTGCAGCAATTTCCCTCAGCCTCGACCTCCTCATGTTCAAGTGTCATTGAAAAGGCTTTGTTACTAGGTGCTATCAGTCAACAAAGTACAAAAAATCAACAAAATCTTATGTTTATTATTAAAAAGTCTCCTCTTCTCTGGGAGCTGGTATGTGGCCATATTTTGATAATTTCATACTTACTGAGACAGAAAACTTTAAGAAGTTAACCTTTTTGCTATTTTTAACATTTTCCTAGCTGTATTTATTAATTGGTATGACCCACACAGGACTTCCAGACCCACTTGCAGTACTTTAGGTGAGCCATATGAGATGAGTAAAGGCAAGAGCTGTGATACAGGAGGAGGACTGCTGTTCTCACAGACACACCCCTGTGAGTGCACTTCTGCTTTTTTTTTCTTAAGTATGAAGATAGTTAAGTGTTGATGTAACATTTTAAGGAAAGCAAAATGTTCTTGTTATCTGGCATCTTTAAGCCAAGCTTGGGACGTCTTTAAGCCAAACTTGGATGACTTTAAAATACATGCCCTAGTTGAATCAGTGGAAATCCTATGAGTATGGCTGGAATGGTATGGAGTTCTGGGTGCTGTGTTACTGGAGAGGTGAGACAAATCATCTTAAATTACTGGACAATAAATGGTTCTCCTGGTCTCAGAATCTAAACCTTTCCTTTGACACCAAAATGATATGTGCCAGAGTGTGTTTTTCTGGTTCTGTAAGTGCTTCAATGCAAGAGAAAAAGTTGACATCTAAACTGTCAGCCCTAATTTTTATGGTTAAGACTCCATTGAGCTGAATCAAGCTTGCATCCTTGACAGTTGTTTGGAGGGTCTTTGCACATTGGGACAGAGAGCAAAGTATCTTTTGCTTGCATTTGAAAAGTTGTGCTGGACTCCACTTTAAAAGCGATTAACGCTGCAGCGTAAGGTTGTGGGCACCAGGAAAACATACTGGCTGGCAATGCGACACAGCTTGACTTCTGAAAAAAATGGCATCAATGTGAAGTAAACAGATAACATGGATTTGACTAGAATTTGTTAATAGGGTTAGGATGGCAATTCTTAAATACATCAACTCTGCAGCCATCATTTGATAGTGGGGTTTTCTTGATATCCCATAATATTTCAACTTTACATATTGAAATTGCAATTGCTCTGGCCACACATAGTCACAGAGGGGAAAAAAAAGTCCCTAAGCACACTGTGGACTTAGCCTGTCATGCTGTCTTAATTGAACTGGAATTAGCTGTGACAATGTTGTTTAGCTTGGAACGCAAACCTTTTCAGAGATAGTTACTTTAACTAGTGCGCTTTCATTATATTACTGCAATCAAAAACTAGTCTGTCACTCCTCTAAGTAATGTTTCAGGTCCTTAATACAAATGACTTACTCCTTTGGTTTTAAGGAGCAAACATGACAGTTAAAAGCCTGCCTCTGAGGACATTGTTTTTAGACATTCCAGTTACTTGTTATCCTGGTGAGGTATTATTCACGTATTTTCTTTTTCCATGCTTGAATTATTCCTTTGTCTTTCTATTATTACCAGGAATAAATCTATGGCTTTTTTGCTGTATTTTCTCAGAACCCAACTTCGTGTCTCGCCTGAAGTCACCCTACTTCTCCTTTTATGACATCGCAGCATCTTTTAATGATGCCAAAAAGAGCAGCTTATATAGCTCCAGTGACAGATAAATACCATAAACTCACAGAATTTAATAGATTGCGCTCGTGTTTGTGTCCAGAGGTCTGACCAAGGCCTTGCCTTCTCTTCTGCCATTTCCACTGCAGGCTTTGGCCTGATGAGCCAGGCTTTGTGGCACTTGTTTTTCATGGTTGGCCTTGAATCCTTTTAATTGGTGTAGTGTGTTCATTTTGGTATGCTGACTGTAATTGGGTTTTTTGTATTTGATATTTTTGACACAATAACATACTGTCTTGCCAGATATTGGCAAGGGCAAGCTGAAGGAGGTTTTTTTGTTTTAGCAAGGAGCGGAGGTGTCTGATACCTAGAGGACAGGTGAGACTTTGGACACTGCAGAACAGGGCTCCCTGTTTTGTCTGCAAGGGCCAATAGGATACCTTTTGGTCTGGGGAAGAGCAGAATTTTGTTCCTCACTCAGTAGCTCTGTCTCTAGTTTTTGCCAGCTTTACCCTGCTTGCCACCTGGCTAATGCTGTCTGTCACCAATGGCAAGCACAAGGATTAGTCTGGAATTTATTTCTGAAATGACCGTCAGTGACATATCTAATACTGATATTTTCTTCTTTGTTTTTAAACTTCACTTAGGTGAGTTCAGTGATTTTTCACCTCTGCGTTAGTGCTTCAGGCCATGCTCAGACTAGGTGGGTGGTAGGTGCTGCATTAACATGTGTTCGACTTACAAACTGATGGAGAGGGGATTTCACAATTATAATGCACAAAGATTTAAGTCCATGGAAGTTACACTTAAGTCTACTCTAAATCCCCTCTATATTGCCAGAATGGTAAGTACCTTCAGTGTAAATAACAGGCAGTACTAACATTGAAAAAAACCACACCTTAGGTCTGGAGTACAGTTATGTAGCAACTTAAAAATAACTTGCAGTTATACGGTGTCTCATAGCTTATGTAATCTCAGCACACTTGGCATCCTGGTCTTTGTTTTCTGCTTTTCTTTACTATAGAAAGGGTGTTTGTGTGCACATGAGGAAAAACATTATGCATGTGTGCTTAAATGGCTGTGTTTCATCCTTAAAATGTGTTAAATAGGTCTTAAAGAACCTGTATTTTTTTTATTTTAGTGCTGTCAAAGTATGTGTAGAAAGGGTATGTACCTACATTTTAAAAATGAGCAAATTGTTTTCAACTTACACAACCTAATGTCCACTCTCTTTTCTATCTTACCTAATAGCGATAACCTGCTACGAAGAGCTGCATGCCAAGAAGCCCAGGTAATACTGTTTAAAGTGATAAAATTAGATTAAAATCTCCCTCTTATCTTGGTTGTGCAGGGCTCCTGAGATTTTCCCAGCGGGCCCTCTCTACGTGACAAGCCTTGTAATGATGCCATCTGTGTTCTTTTGCTAAAGTGCCAAAGGGTGGATGAGGCCTCCAGCCCGCAGCTGGGGTACCGTACCTTTCACGCGCTGACTGTTGTTGTGATGGATGGTGCAGTGTTATCGCTGGGGTAATCTTAGTTACCGCTGTAGCTACCCAGACCTCCATTTCTGCAGGTGTAATTACTCCGTGTCTGTCAAGTTCTGGTGGCAAGATGGTTTGTTGATAAGGCAGGAGACTGAACTCTCGGATCCACCACGATAGGTGTAGTCTGGGCAGAAGCAGCGCAAACTGCTTCATGTTAGTGCTTGGCTGGAGAGACCTTGCCCTTGTCTGTTTGAGCCTGAGCCCCTAACACACCTTTATGGGGGATACTAGGTGTGATGACTGACCTAGCGTTTTTGAGACCCATGAACTGGGAACTTAATAGAGACAACCCGCTTGCTGACCACTGACAAGAAAGCTGGTATTCAGAGAGAAAGGGGTAGTTACTGTCTGAGTATATTGACTATTTCATTTTGTAGTTTGTGGTCTGCATGGGCAACCAGCCATGAACAAATTCCCATACTGTACTATTCCCATAAAGAAATCTTGTCCTTAATAAGCAGTCTTTCATGGGCGCTTTCCAATGCTTTTGCCCATGGATTACATCACTGCACAGGTACTGCTTACTGTCTCTGATTACCTTGGTGGTGTGGTGTAGGATTTTAAGTCTTTCTACCTCCCACAAATAAAGTTTATTCTCAACCTGCTCCTCCATGCCAGATCTTAGAGATTTTGCAGGGTGTAACACTGTTCCCATCATTGCTATCTACTGGGGCCTGAGACGAATGGTGAAAATTATTTTTGTCATTAAAGAACTTTCCTTGGGATTACCCTGCTTCTGTGGTGCACCTGAATAATCCCAATTTTAGCCTGCCTGCTGTTGAGGGAAAGATATTCACAACACCTTGACTTGGGCAATGGAACTTCATGCCAGAAGAGATGTAAGGGAGCTCAAGTCTCATGAAAGAATAAGAAAAATCTTTCCCTGAAAATACTGCTTTCATAAATCATACCTATTGCTTCAGAGTCAAATGCATTTCCAACTCATAGTATCAGTTGCTCTTGATTTTTATGTTTTCAATATTCATTTTTACTGCATAATATCAGCGTGATGGAAGCTTTTTATATCACCAGAAATAGCAGTTAATACCTTGGTATTTGAAGTGTGCTGACCAAATTAAAAAAAAAAAATTAAAAAGGCACTGATGAAATAATACATAAGGAAAAGGTAAAAGACCTAAGTATGCATGCTGTCAAAAGGGTGTAACTGCTAAGGCAAGTGACTGGTACAAGAAGATAGTTATGTTGTGCAAATTCTGACTTTCCTGTTTCTTAATTCCAGTCATTAAGTGATGGGATCTATTCCGTTATGGCTTATTCTTGTAAATGAAAGTGCAAAAGCACTGTCAATAGAGCTTGCTACAATTTCAGTGGTTAAAGCCTGGGAAAATATCCTGCAGAAGACTCGTGCATTAGAAAGGAGTGAACCAGAAAGCCTAGTAATCAATTCTTGCTGTAATTTCCATTCTCACTGATGTGTCAGTGCCAAACACTGCTTGAAAACACACAGCAATACAGCAGTAAGGCATTAAATATCTGATATGTTCTTCAGAATAACAACAATCTGTAATTGTTTGAAAAATGCTATTTGCGTTTATAGTGCTGTGTAAGTATTGGGAAAAAATAGAGGCAGACTCATCCAAGAACAAGGTTAGTCTGAGTGAAGTGGGGTGTTTCCCTATTACTTTTACATCAGATTTTTAAGTTTTTAAGCCTGTTACATTACCAAATTGATGAGGCGCCCACCTTCCTGCCAAACTATCCGCTACAGCAGTATTTCATGCAAAGACTCCACCATGCGTGTCTGAATTTAAATACCAGTTTATGATGACAGCCTTGGGGTGCCAAATGATCATAGAAAGATTCTATAATAAAGAACCCTTTTCTCATATTTTACACCTCCTCCTCTGGAATAAGTCAGTGTCAGCTGACTGTGGACTTCCTTTGCAAATGTGGTCTTGCTGATTGACCTTGTTACTGAACTCTGGGCATGTGTTGAAGAGGTCCTGTTTAGCTGGCAAACAGTTTGCTCTGTGAAGCAGGGATAGTTTTCTGTAAAGGAATGTAGTTTCTCTGTTGGTGTTCATAAAGCATTATAAAGCCTTTCTATAAAGGGGTTTTCGCAGTTGCAAAATAGTGATTGTCATCTTAGAAGTCCAGAAATGCAATACCTGGAAGTGTGCATTTGACAAGGAAGTGAAAAAAAGCATTGACTTTCCTAAATTACACCTTCATATATATATTTAATAACCATTTTTAATGTCTGGCTTTAAGTTGTCTTTCCTTATGCTGTGCTCTGAAAAAAAAAGCTTCTAGAATGTTGCATTATTATTTTTTTATTTCCTGTCTTAAAAATCAGCATTCGCTTTAGAAGTGCCCCTGTATGTAACATAAATGTCTAAGTATGTTACATAAAGAAGTGATTATGTCATTACTCATAAATTCTTTATGAGCCTTGTTAGGTTGTTTAGCACAAGCAAATAAATCACATTGTGCCCCCCAAGCAAATAATTCATTGTTTCTAACAGCTGTAACATGCTAGAGGTCCCCTATATTTCCCAATTCCCACCCAACAATTGCAATAAAATAAATTGGTCTGTTTTCCAGCTGATTTTTGAGTAAAGCTTAAGAGTTGTTGATTTGTTTCCCTTTCTTTGAAGATTCCTTTACTCTCAGCAACTTCTCTCATCCTTTTTCTTTCTTGAAGAAGAAATTTAAATGTTTTAAGCAACATAGCCACCTGCATACTTCTTTTAATTGAGGTTTCCTGAGCAAAGTTGGCAAGTGGAATTAATTATAAATTTAAACAGCTAACATTCACGGAAATCTACTGTGCTTTGTGTACAATGTCCACCTTCTTCAATATAAAAATTACTGCTAGGGGGATTAACTTTCAAGGTAAAGGCGGG